TTCCTCCAGCTTCCTATTCCCTCGGCTTCCTATTCCCTCGGCTTCCTATTCCCCGGCTTCCTGTTCCCTCAGCTTCCTATTCCTCCAGCTTCCTATTCCTCCAGCTTCCTATTCCCTCAGTTTCCTATTCCCCCAGCTTCCTATTCTCCGGTTTCCTATTCCCTTAGCTTCCTATTCCCCAGCTTCCTGTTCCCTCAGCTTCCTATTCCTCCAGCTTCCTATTCCCCGGCTTCTTATTCCCTCAGCTTCCTATTCCCCCCAGTTTCCTATTCCCTCAGCTTCCTATTCCTCGGCTTCCTATTCCCTCAGTATCCTATTCCTCCGGCTTCCTATTCCCTCAGCTTCCTATTCCTCTGGCTTCCTATTCCCTCGGCTTCCTATTCCCCGGCTTCCTATTACCTCGGCTTCCTCTTCCCTGGCTTCCTATTCCCCGGCTTCCTATTCCTCCAGCTTCCTATTCCCTCAGCTTCCTATTCTCCGACTTCCTGTTTCCCGGCTCCCTATTCCCCCAGCTTCCTATCCCCCCCAGCTTCCTATCCCCCCCAGCTTCCTATTCCCCCAGCTTCCTATTCCTCCAGCCGCCTTATCTCTTCAGCTCATTCCCTCAGCCTCTTTCCTCAGCTCATCCCCCAGCTTCCTATTCCCCAGCTTCCCAGGCTCCCTCAGCTTCCTATTCTCCTCGCTTCCTGTTCTCGCTCCCTATTCCCTGTGCTTCCTTTTCTCTTTCAGCTTTCCTATCCCCAGCTTCCTATCTCTATAGTTTCATTCCTCATAGCCTCATTCTCAGCCTTATTGCCCCAGCTTGTATTCCCTCAGCCTTACCGCTTTCCGGCCTCCAGTTTCTATTCCTCCAGCTTCCTATTCCCCGCTTATTCCTCAGCTTCCTATTCCTCGCTTATTCCCTCAGCTTCCCGCCCCAGCTTCCTCATTCCCCTGTGCTTCCTATTCCCTCAGCTTCCTTTTCCCCCAGCTTCCTATTCCCCAGATTCCTATTCCCTCAGTTTCCTATTCCCCCGGCTTCCTATTCCCCCCAGCTTCCTATTCCCTCAGCTTCCTATTCCCCGGCTTCCTATTCCCTCGGCTTCCTATCCCCCCAGCTTCCTATTCCCTCAGATTCCTATTCCCCGAGCTTCCTATTCCACGAGCTTCCTATTCCCCCAGCTTCCTATTCCCTATTCCGGTAGGTATACAGTGTATGTATATTTTATTTTAATGAAAAAATTCTCAATAGGTAACTCAGCTGTTCCTCTAGGAAAACACCTCGGCTACCCACATTTGGTTTCCTTTCTATTTATTGGACTGCCGGCTATAGTAAACAATTTAATGTCACCCATCCAAATGACATCTTGAAAAGTAGCAATAAACATGACATAGTACCATGTATGCATTTCATATAGAAATTCTGAACGGTCATAATCATCTTGGATGAGCCAATTACTTAATAGTTTTTCTTATTTGGATAAATCTCTACATTAAACATTCATTCAAACACCCAATCCTGATACAATGTTGTAACGGATCCCCTATACTCCAGCTGAGTATATCCGTGCAGAATCTCCCGAAATCATGAAGGGGTAAAACGATCTGTTTAATGGTGGCCACAGCTTGGCCTTTTATGCAGGTCCTCCAGCA